TTCTTATAGACTGAAGCTTGTGGTTTAAGGCTATTAAAGGTAGAGAGGTTAACCACCCTTCCTTACACCTTGTCTCCTAAGCCATTACACTTGTGTTTCCCATCTCTTCCTCAACTTTTTTTTGAGCTTTTTACCACTGATTTTTAGAGTTATTTCAATGGCTAAAATCATGTCTTAAGGTCCAAAAATAGAGAGGGTAGCCTCCCCTCCTTATGCTTTGTTTACTAGCTTATATAGCTTCATGTTTTAGCTTATTGTTCTAGCTATTTTTGACTTAATTCCAGCATGTTTTAGGATTGATTTAGCACTGTTTTAGGACTATTTTTGGTGGTTCATTGCATTTGAGCCTTGTATTACATGCTTATAGTGTAATAGTCCTCATAGGTTTGGTGGTTTAGGGCTTTTGCTTTGCTTTGAAAGTTGGTTCAAGCTACTTGCTTGTTTAAAGCATGAGATTGGAGTTTTATGCTTAATGGTTTAATCCCTTTGGGGGTTCATTATCAATGGCATGACACTTCTCTCATGCCTAAAACAACTTTTGGTTTGATGCTTCTTTCCATTAGAGGATTTAAAACTCACTTTTTGACTTAATTTACTAATGAATGGTTGGTAGTTAAAATGGAGTAATAAAATAAGGGCTAAAAATGATGCAATATAATAACTTGGTTTAGGTTCAATTAGACATTAATTGAACCCTTGAGTCTTGAATCGTTTCATACTTGTTAGTGATGCAAATGGTTCAAGAGTCATTGTCGACCACTTCCCTTGATCAATCTATAATAGGGAGAAGGTTTGAGAGTTTTTGTTTGTTGCATTTATTGAACTTACACACTTTGTTTCATAGGCCATCATGCAATGAAATTACATCGATTGATGGTTTGTGAATCAAGTTTACCACTCCTTTGAGCTATTTGGTGATAAGGAGGGGTAAGTTGTGCAAACAACCCTTAAGAATACCATGTTCTTGCTCTGTATGCTTTCTGTTGTAGAAGGAGGAACCAAATTTTTGTGGTCGGCAGGCCATAAGTTCTGAACTACAGACTACTGTTTGTGGCAAGCAGGCCACCAATTCTGGCTACCGAGCACTTTTGTCAAACCAAGCAGTACCTTTTTGGAACAAAATAGAGCAAAGGCCAAGGTGAAAGATGTTCTAACTGTGCAACAGAAGCATTCTGACAACAGAACAGTGGGCTTTTCGGGTGAAAATCCGCGCATGCATGAGCATTCCTCGCTTCCCGAGGCTGATTAGTTAGCTTAGTTACTTCTTTCATATTGTAATTAATTAGTTAATTCTAATTTGTAATTAATTAGTGTAATTAATTAGTTAGTTCCATAGAATAGTTAATTAATCAATTGGTTTTGTAATAACTAGCTAGCATAGTTAGTTTATTTGGTTTGTAATTATTAGTTAATTCATTTTGTAATAGTTAGTTAAGTCATAGTGATTAGCTTAGCTAGTTAGTTTATTCGGATCCTCCTGCTCAAGGCCACAGTTGTAATAATGTATATGTCTTCCAACCCCACATCTTTTTCCCTTTTATTTACCTGCTTATGATGGTTAGTTTAGGGCATCATATTTCGTTTAGCATCTCTCATGCCTTGCATCCATTGTCTTACATGCATTAAGCTCGGCGCATCATTCTAACTTGCATTGTTAGTTAAACACTTCTTTGAATACATGCTTAAATCACATGCTATCAAATTGATTCATATGTCATATTAGTAACCGAGCCTAGTAATTGCATATTGCATGCGTTGTATTAGTCACATTGCATAGTTTGGATCATACATCATTCTAACTTTGTCATCTTTTTTGGCTTGGAGTACTAGGTGAGCTTTTATTTGCTTTAGCATATTGCATGAATGTGGTTGTTACCATATCAAAGCATGTTCACCATGAGGATAAGTGTGACAACCCAACTCTGTGTTATGCTAATTACTCTTAACTATGCTTATAATTATGAGCTTGATATGATTTTTAATGATAATTATATGATTATATGCGTTTGTGACATTCTATCTATTCACCGTAGGAAAATATGTTTAATTTTCTACTATAGAATTTAAATTGGAGATCGTAGAGGTTTTAGAAACTGAAATTGACTGTGTTATTGTAGTTGGCATGATTTTTAGAGCCTATAGTGAAATTTAATTAGAAATTGATTTGGATAAGAATAATTAGATTCAGAATGATTAAATTAGAGCATTGTTACTTAGCCTAATCAATTTGATTAGCCAAGCCTATAAATAGGCCTATATACACTCAATTCCTCCTTTTTGAACTCACCTTAGCTGAAAACACATTCTAGAGAGAGAGAGGGCCGGTTTAGAGAGAGGGAGGAGCCATCCTTGTAGATTTTTGCAAGAGAATTCAAGATTTGAAAAGCTAAGCCCAAGAACTAGCTAGAAATTAGAAGATTGGAGCCACTAGGTGAGTAATTAGACATGAAATTATGAATTTGAGTTGTAATTATATGAATTCAAGGATAAATTGTAATCAAGCGTATGAATTGAGTTGAATTTGATGAATTTGAAGTCAATGTAACCATGCATGTAGAAAATTGCCATGAATTTGCATAATCTAGCATGTAGCATGTTAATTATGAAAAATTGAGTATCAAATCATACATGCATGCATAAATTTAATGAGCTTCATGATTTTGAGAATCAGTTATGCCATTTGAAGTGGGATTGGAGTCAATGATTGACATGCATGAAGGATTCATGAAGTTATAAAATGTGTATGAAGTTTGAATGCACAAACTATGACCATACCAAGAAGAATGAGAAATAATTTGGAGAATTAGATCATGATTTTGAGTAATTGGTCTCAATTATCCATGTTCTCATGTCATATAATGGTTTTCCATGTTTTTGTATAAAAAATATGAGTTTTGAACATTTGAAGATATTTTTTGAGCTTCAAACACAATTCTGGAAAACCCAAAATTTGGCTTGGCCGCTCGAGCGTGGAAATTAAGCTCCCAAAAGTTTTACAAAATCTTACAGATTGCTTGAGCGACCAAAGTGACGCTCGAGCGATGACCCTTTTTATTTAGTCTTCCGCTCGAGTGACTGTCAAGCGGTAAATTCACACAACCAGTACTTTGCAGACCACTTGAGCGATGGAAGTTACGCTCGAGCGACCATCCTTATTTTTGAATTCTCGTTCGAGCGGAGGGCCCTGTTTTAGAAATTTTGAAAATACGTTTTATGTTTCGTTTTTCGTTCTTTTTCACTTCTAAGCACTCTTAGGCATGCATTGAGTACACTAAATGAATTAAAGAGCGTGGAAGAAGTCTAAGAGCATTAAGAAAATTGAAGAACGAAATGAATTGTATTATGACCCAATGTCTTATGAATTATGTAGGGTCAAGCGCAAGGACGAATCAAGCACCGGAACACTGTGAGTAATATCTTAGTAAAGATATTTTTATGTATGCATTGTTTTCTAAATGTTACCTTCGTGGTAAATTTCTGACACTATGAATTTGTACTATGAATGAGTATTCTATTCGCTTGATTCGTAATAAAGTATGTGAAGTGATTGATATATGAGTATGAAATGGGCCTAAGGCCGTTTGGCATGTTTGACAAGGACACAAATTGGGCCTAAGGCCGTTTGGTATATTTGATGAGGACGCGGATTGGGCCTAAAGCCGTTTGGAATGCTTAACAAGATAGACTAAAGGTTATCTTATATACAAATTAGACCAAAGGTCGTTTTGAATAAAGAATTGATTGGACCAAAGGTCGTTTTGAATATGAGTATGGATGTGGTCACAATCATATGCGTATAATTATGAATATAAGAATGGTGGACCCAAGATCGTTTAGTAATATGATATGGAGGACCGGTGGTCCTTGGTACATGGATCCATTAGACCTAAAGTTGGTCTATGAATGAGTATTAGGCCCAAGGTTGTTTTGTATAGATGGACCTAAGGTCATTTTGTTTTATATTGAGTTGGACCCGAGGTCATTGTGTATATGACTATGATGTATTGGACCGAGGTCGTTTTGCTTTGTTGTGATCTACAAATTTGTATGTGAATGGGAATAGTAGTTCAAATGTTTAATTTATAAGTATGACTCATTGTGATTGAAACTCATTCATTAACTTCTTTACTCTGGTATTATTTACTAGGCATTAGCTCACTCTGTATTTATATGTATGTAGGCAAACAACGGGACGTCCAACCCCAGCCCCAGTGAGCATTGAGAAACCAAGTTTTGTGAGGTCAACCAAGGTCACCTCACACAGAGGCCTTACTTTTGTTTTTGTTCTCTTATGGTCAGGTATGACCAACGTTGTGTATAACCTTGGAACTTGGTGTTGAAATTGTAAAATGATCCTGGATATACATGGTACATACATAACGTAAATATTGCATGGTGTGAGTTATTTCATGTATATGAGAAATTTTTTGATTAAACCATGTATACACAGCTCGTTGGACAATTCTTGTATGTGATGCTTCCCCAGTTTGGCCCCCTATTATTAAATATGGTTTCATTTCTGACTGAGACTGTAGGTAATCTCATGATTACTGGCAAGTTATGACTCTAATCCATAGGGGCGGGTTTAGGTCATGACATGGCAAGTGGAGACTCTACGTCGACTACTCTGACCTCAACCGAGCTTGTTCTAAGGATAGCTACCCACTTCTCAAATAGATCTATTGGTCGACGCAACGGCTGGCCACCAGATGCTCAACTTCATGGATGCTTTCTTCGGATATAATCAAATCTTAATGCATGTAGCTGACCGAGAACATACCTCCTTCATTACTGACAGAGGAACTTATCATTACCCGGTGATGCCATTCGATCTAAAGAATGCATGAGCCACTTACCAACGTCTGGTTAATGCCATTTTCAAACATTGGATCGGTTGCAACATAGAGGTCTACGTCGATGACATGCTCGTCAAAAGCAGACTCTAATCCGATCACCTAATAGACCTACGGGAGACCTTCCAAGCCCTATGCAAGTACAAGATGAAACTGAACCTGGAGAAATGCGCCTTTGGCGTCGGATCTGGTAAGTTTTTGGGGTTCACGGTCAGCCACAGAGGTATCGAGGCCAATCTGGAGAAGATCAAAGCCCTAATCGAAATGCAATCCCCCCGAACGGTAAAGGAGGTCCAGCAGCTCACTGGCAGAGTCACAGCTCTCAACCGATTCATTTCCCGAGCTACTGACAAATGTCTTCCATTCTTCAAAGTTCTCCGGCAGGCTTTTGAATGGAACACTAAGTCCGAAGAGGCCTTCAAACAACTAAAGCAGTACATGACTAACCCCCCTCTCCTCTCTCAATCATTGCCGGGCGAGACCCTCTCCTTTTACTTAGCTGTCTCCAATATCGCGGTTAGTGCTGCCCTTATCAGAGAAGACGGCTCCGTCCAGCGCTCAGTTTACTACATCAACCGCGCACTTCGGGGGGCAAAACAAAACTACCCCTTGTTAGAAAAAATGGCCCTCGCTTTAGTCATTGCCTCTAGACGTCTCCGACCTTATTTCCAAGCCCACTCCATAGTGGTCCTCACTGACCAGCCTTTGAAAAAGGTCATGCAACAACTAGAATCGTCTAGCAAGCTCATGCAATGGTCCATTGAACTAAGCCAGTATGAAATTTCTTATCGACCTCGAACAACTATCAAAGGCCAAGCTGTTGCCGATTTTATCTTGGAGTTCACCAATCCCACTTCGAACGCACTTACCGTACCAGCACATATCACTGCTGATACAAAAGACCTCAACTCCTGGACCCTTAGTGTTGATAGTTTATCCCGCAAAGAGGGTAGCGAAACCGGTTTAATCCTCACCACCCCAGAAGGAGAATACCTCAAGTGCGCCCTTCGGTTCCTATTTACAGCAAGTAACAACCAGGTCGAGTACGAAGCCCTCATAGCGGGTCTTCGACTGGCTAGAGACATCGGAGTTGACCATCTCCGTGTTTTTAGCGACTCTCGGTTGGCAGTCGGACAGATAACAGACGAGTTTGATGCGAAGGAGGAAGCCATGCGCTCATGCAGGGACATTGCTTTTCCTCTGACCCGCCTCTTTAACAGTTTTCATATCCGACATGTCCCCAGGTCACAGAACTCCCACGCAAATGAAATGGCACAATTGGCCTCAGTAGATCAATCAGACCTCTGCCATGGCGTCTGGGTTGAGTACCTGACCCATCCAGCAATTTCACCAAATCAGCAAGTAATCCATCTACTCCAGAACGAACGTATCCCGTGGGCCCATGACATTATCACATTCTTAGAACAGGGAATACTACCTGCAGACAAACAGGAGGCCGCCAAAGTCAAGGCTCGGTCCTCAAATTATACCCTTGTCAACGACATCTTATATAAGAGAGGATTTTTACGGCTGTACCTTAGATGCCTCAACAATGATTATGCAACCTATGTCATGAGAGAAATACACGAGGGAGTTTATGGCAATCACTCTGGAGGACGGTCTCTAGCTCATAAAATTCTCCGAACAGGTTACTTTTGGCCTACACTTAGTCAGGACGCCACTAATTTTGTGATGAAATGCGACAAATGCCAATGCTTCACTAACATCCCCCACATCCCTCCAACGGAGTTGATCACGGTCAGCAGCCCTTGTCTCTTCGCTAAATGGGGAATCGATCTCGTGGGCCCCTTGCCAGCCGGTAGGGACCAAGTAAAATTCGCCGTAGTCACCATCGATTATTTCACTAAGTGGGTCAAAGTTGAACCTCTTGCCAAGATTACTGAGCGGAATACCACTAAGTTCATCTGGCAGTCCATTGTGTGTCGTTTCAGGGTTCTTCAAGCCATTGTCTCTGACAATGGCAAATAGTTTGACAACGTCAAATTTAGGGAATTCTGCACAGAACTCAATATCAAGACCTGTTTTTCCTCCCCAGGCCATCCTCAAGACAACGGTCAAGTGGAAGTTACCAACCGCTCCCTGTTGAAAATCGTTAAGACCAAGCTGGAGTTTGCCAAGGGCCTCTGGGCAGAGGAATTGCCAAACGTCCTCTGGGCCTATCGGACTACTGTCTGAACTTCAACTGGGAAGACCCCATTTTGCCTAACATACGGTGCCAAATCAGTCATCCCTGTGGAAATTGGTCTACCGACGCCAAGAGTCATCTACCCCAATCCACACCTGAACGAAGACCTTCGGAGGGCCGACCTAGATCTCATCGAAGAATTGCGAGAAACGGCTACCGTCCGACTGGCCTCATACCAACAGAAAGTAAGGCAATACTATAATTGCCGACTCCGACCGAGGGCATTCACAGTGGGAAACTTCGTCTTATGCGAAGCTACTCTTGCCACTAAAAACCCAACCGAGGGCAAGCTAGCAGCTAAGTGGAAAGGCCCTTACATCGTCAAAGTAAGACACTACCTAGGCACATATCGTCTCCAAGACATGGAGGGCAGAGACCTTCCTCATCCATGGAATGCCAAACACTTGAAACGCTATTTCCAGTAAAGCAGCATTTTCTGCTTTTTGTTTGATTTAACTTGTTGTATGTTTCATTTTGTTGATCAGAACACTTGTCCATCTTGGCTTTTACCACGTAATGCATATATTGGTGATCGCAGGACTATGACAACAATTCAAGATTCCCATTATCTGTGTCATGCCTTAATCTAAAATTAAACAAAGTCTCAGCTAGACTGAGCATGAAGAGCTCAACCAGACTGAGCTAAACATAGCCTCAGCCAGATTGAGCATGAAGAACTCAGCCAGACTGAGTTAAACATAGCCTCAACCAAATTGAGCCCTCCAAAGCCTCAGCTAGACTGAGCTTGAAGAGCTTAGCCATACTGAGTTAAACATAGCCTCAACTAGGACTAAGCATGAAGAGCTCAGCTAGACTAAGTTAACCATAGCCTCAGCCAGACTAAGCCCTCCAAGCCTTAGCCAGACTAAGCATAAAGAGCTTAGTCAGTATGAAGAGCTGCGCAGACTAAGTTAAACCATAGAATGCTTGTCCTATTCAAGTGTCCATTCAAGTATGCCACTCCAATTGTCAACCTTACACCCAAAACTTGGTAAGTTCAGCCAAAACTACCAACACCTAGTAAAATTTAAGTTCATTTTTATCCAAGGCAATTATTATCTAAATTTTCTTCCAAGGTCATTTTTACCCAAGTTAAATTTCTGTCCATTTTTACCCAAGGCAATTTCCTTATTTTCCAACAATTTAATGTGTTAGTCATCTTTACACAATACAAACATAACAGACACAATAACCACAGAGATATTCCAGTTTTTATTAATTAACATCTTGCAAAGCTGTACACCTCCTTACAAGAACCATACAAAAAACAACTCCATCCAGTCACTACGCTCCCCCTATCTCTTCTTCACTGGATGCCAAGTCCTCCTCCTCCATATCCTCATCCAATGGAGTCTGGGCGATGTCTTCTTCTTTTGGCTTCATGGGGTTAAAATCAATGTCTGGGAACAGCTCTTCTATCTTATATTTGAAGCTCGTCTGGCCGCTATCCCAGTACATGCTCATCTCATGCTTGTAGCAGTTTGACTGCTGGAACCTCTAGATTATTTCTTCTTTGGTTTGCCCTTCCACCCGCACCCCTTTCCCCTTCTCTGGCCAAGCCCCTCGCCACAGCCCCGTTAATGACCATTTGGAACTCTGGGGATAGGTTGAACTGCTTCACCGTTGCCAAGTAGAGATCAAGGGAAGCAGCCCTCTCAAATGCCAATACCCTGGTTAACTGTGCTGACTTAGCCCTTTTCTCTTCCAAGGCCTTCTCTAACTCTGCCCTTCGTGCATACACCTCCTCCCCATCCTTCGAAGCCTGCTCATGCAGCTCTTCGTTGTTCATCAGGGCCTCCTCCAACCTCTCATTGATAGTGGCGCGGGCTTGAGATTCATCAGCCTTCTTCTACTCGATCGCTAATGAAAACACCAGCAATACTGTCTTACAACGTATCGCTTCAAGCTCTGCCTTGACAGTTGACAGTTCGGCCTCGACCTCCGTTTGTCCCACCCTGGCGCGTTTCGGCAGATAACCCTACACTACCCCCAGCACCTCTAACTTTTTTGCCCTCAGAGCGTAGGCCAGGCCCTTGGCACAGGTGCTCTATGCTGCCTTTCTCTATCCAGCCATCCCCTCTCAAGTTCTGCATGCACTTGAGCCTGTACCTCTTCCAACTAAGCCTTCAGCGGTTCCGTTTTTACCTTCGCTCCCGCTGCCTTACTCGGAAGGACAGCCACCGGGGTCGCTGCCTCTATTTGCACTAAGCAGAATCCTCTCATAAGGTAAACCTCTATAAATTGTGCCACACTTTGCACGGATGCGTTCTCTACAGCCCCCAACAGACGATCTGGGGCCACCTTGGCTTCACCTTCATCCCCTCCCAATCGACTGACCACCGCGCACCCCACTGAAGCACATACCGTCTCCAAGACATGGAGGGTAGAGACCTTCCTCATCCATGGAATGCTAAACACTTGAAATGCTATTTCCAGTAAAGTGGCATTTCTTGCTTTTTGTTTGATTCAAATTGTTGTATGTTTCATTTTGCTGATCGAAACACTTGTCCATTTTGGCCCTTGCCATGTAATGCATATATTTATGATCGCAGGATTATGACAATAATTCAAAATTATAATTATTAGTGTTGTGCCTTAATCTAAAATTAAACAAAGCCTCAGCCAGACTGAGCATGAAGAGCTCACCCAAACTAAGTTAAACATAGCCTCAGCCAGACTAAGGGGGTTCACTAATTTTACCTCGCACGCACCCTTTCTACCAGCACACGGCTTTATTGAGGAGGAAGACCCCCATTCTTGGACTCTTAGTGTTAACAGTTCATCCCGCAAAGAGGGTAGCGGAGCCGATTTAATCCTCACCACCCCAGAAGCAGAATACTTCAAATGCGCCTTCCAAATTCCTATTTACAGCATGCAACAACCAGGCCGAATATGAAGCTCTCATAACAGGTCTCCGACTGGCTAAAGATATCAGAGTTGATCATCCAAGTACTTAGCGACTCTTGGTTGGTAGCCGGCCAGATAATGGCGATTTTGGTGCCAAGGAAGAAGCCATGCGATCATACAGGGACATTGCTCTTCATCTGACCCACCTCTTTAATAGCTTTTGTATTCGACATGTCCCTAGGTCAGAAAACTCCCAAGCAGATGAAATGGCACAGTTAGCCTCAGTAGACCAATCAGACCTCTGCCATGGCATCCGAGTTGAGTACCTAACTTATCTAACAGTCTTACCGGATCAACGAACAATTCACCTGCTCCAAGACGAGCCCATCCCATGGGCCTAGGACATTATCACATTCCTCGAGCAGGGAACACTTCCAGCAGACAAACTTAAAGCCGCCAAAGTCAGGACTCGGTCGTTAAATTATGTCATTATCAATGGCACCTTGTATAAAAAGGGATTCTCACGACCATATCTCAAATGCCTCAATAATGACTAAGCAACCAATGTAATGAGAGAAATACATTAGAGAGTTTGTCGGAATCACTCAGCGGGACAATTTTTGGCTCATAAAATTCTCCGAACAGGTTACTTTTGGCCCACACTCAGTCAAGACGTCATTGATTTTGTTATGAAATCCGACAAATGGCAGTGTTTCACTAACATCTCCCACGCCCCTCCAACGGAGTTGATCACGCTCAGCAGCCCTTGTCCCTTCGCTAAATGGGGAATTGATCTCGTGAGTCCCTTGTTGACCGGCAAGGGTCAAGTAAAGTTTGTTGTTGTGGCCATCGATTACATCACCAAATTAGTTAAAATGGAACCTCTCGCCAAGATTACTGAGCGGAATACCACTAGGTTTATCTGGCTGTCCATTGTGTATTGTTTTGGAATTTCCCAAGCCATTATCTCCAACAATGGCAAACAATTTGACAACGCCAAATTCAGGAAATTCTGCACAGAACTCAACATTAAGGCCTGTTTTTCCTCCCCAGGCCACCCTCAAGCCAACGGTCAGATGGAGGTTACCAACCACACCTTGCTGAAAATCATCAAGACCAAGTTAGAGGCCGCCAAGGGACTTTGGGCAGAGGAGTTGCCGAACGTCCTCTAGGCCTATCAAACGACAGCCAGAACTCTGACTAGGGAGAACCCTTTTCGCTTAACGTAAGATCGGAGCTAGGAGCGTGGGTTAGACTCCAGTTTTGTCAAGCCAGCCTATGTGCCTCACTGCGAGGTTCCGAGCCTATCGTGTTAAAGCTTAGGGGTGTTTTACAATTCCCCATTCTGTACCGTCTACTGTTCTGTATAGACTGAATGTTTACCGTACTGCTATTAGGTCCATGTACTGTGTGACTGTAAATTTTGTATAGACTGTACTGTTTGTATATGTGAATGCATGAAAAATCTTTTTGGCATACAGACTGACACAGCTCAATGGACATTATTCATTTACTGTATTGGCTTCCGCCAGGCCCTGTACTCTGTTTTACTGTACTACTGTTCTGCAGGCCTTCGGTAATCTCGGATTACTGGCCGGTTACGGTGCTAAACCCATAGGGCCGGGTTTGGGTCGTGACATTAAAGAAGAAAACAAGAATCCACATTTTCTACGAATTTGATAAATTCAACACCGGGGTAAATATGCCATGAAGTCCCTCAAGAGAATCCCAATACATATATATACATAGGTTTACATAAAAGAAAAATATCCCCACATTTGCCGGCTATTGATATGGCAGGAAATGGGCACCTAAAATCATTTATTTTTTCACTTTTACTGACTACAATGCGACAGGACCAATGGACACCCAAAAACATTTCCCCACATTCAAGACAGGACAATTGGGCACCTAGACTTCCCCACGCGGGTACCGA